TTTCTCTCATTTTTAAAAGTGCAATATTATCCAGATATTGTCCTGCTTTTCTACAAAAGTTGACTTCGTTAGAGAGATTTTAAAGCATTTTTTCAGGGTCATACCTGCCGTCATGACCTAAAGGGTTACCCGGCCTGCAGGTATATAGGGATTGTGACTGTGGGTTGGTAGGATTCTGTGACATACAAGGACATGGAGGTTTTTTACTCTAAATTTCCCTTCTTTATTACAGATCTCCACAAATACCACAAAAATCACTACTAGCAACTATATCTGTGATTGATAAAGCGAATATATATATGAATGAAAAAATATATGTGCATATATATGTATATAAAGCTGTTACAAATTATTGGCAGCAATGAGTAGTATGGCAGCAACCAAGTAGGTGTATATTATTACAGGTTACTACAAACTTATCACTAGTGAAGCAAACTTATCAGTAATATAGCAGCAAAAGTACTTATGATAGATTACTTATATGCACATATATATGTATGTTCACAATAATACATAATTATTAGACAGATCTCAGAAGATGCCAAATCATCCCAGAGGGGAGAACAAACCGATCCCAGAGGGGGACCCAGCCATCCCAGAAGTGGGAGGACAAACCAAACCCTCCCCGGTGAGAGTCCAAGATCTCATAGAAAGTTTGTGCGGAGAGTTCAACCTATTTAGGAAAGGAAAAGTACGTGCAGCACGGGAAGTTCTCAGAGAGAGAAGCTTCATTTTGGATAAAAATTAAGTCATTTTTATATCATAGAGAAATAAGGAGGTGTAGGACACCACCGTTTCAGCAGCCAATAGATGCTGTTAATTTCTATTTTTCACTCAGAATAGCCAATAGATGTTGATATTTTCTGTTCTGTCAGGCCAATTTTTATTTTTCCAGACTGTTTTTCTGTTCTTGCAGGTAGAACAGCCAATGGCATTTGCCAATTCTTACTTTAACAGGATGTTTTCCCCTTTTTCCAGACTATTTTTCACCTTTTCAGATGATAAGTTGCTGTTACAGTTCCTTGGTTTTGTGCTTATCAATGGTGTCTCAGGATGTCTCCGGTTTCTAGGTACCCAACTGTGTACTTCTAAGAGGCCAGCTGCACTTCTCAAGGATGCTTCTGATTCCCAGGCCTAGTTCCCAGGCTGGCAGGCATTTTCTCTGTCAACATTTCAGCAGGCATGTTCTTCTGTTCAGTAATTTTCCCCTTCTAAGCAGGTCACTTTTACGGCTGCTCACATCACCTGTGTGTCCAGTTAAGACGTGCACTGAGCCTCTTGTAATATTTTAAAGTTTCTTGCCCAGCGGGAGATAGGGAGCTGAGATTGATATACCTGGGAGGGAAATTATGGAAGCTGATTAATCATGGACCTGAAGCTTGACCTTTTATGTTTTACCCTTTTGTGTGGGTGTGCAGGGGGGAGGATGTTTGAATTTTGACTGTCTGAAGATGAAATCCAAGGAGCACTCTGTTCTCATCGTCAAGGAGGATACTCATCTGTAAAGCTCAGTAGATAGATACCATGGTGAAATGTTCTTACAGGCTCTTCTCAAGGGTCCGTGACCTCTGCTCTTTGTAGCCAACTTCACTCATTCTGCAGGAGGACCCCTCAGGGCTAGAGAAATGTCCTCTGTAAGTTCAGTTCAGCTTGGCCAAATTGTAGATTATTTCAGGGGAGAGAGCAAGGAAGAACACTTCCTTTCTTTTTTTTTTATGAGAGCAAGGAAGAACACTTCCTTTCTTTTCTTTTTTTTTTTATTTTTTTAATTCCTCTGTGGTTTCTGTTGCTTAGCAAATGTAAAGTATTTAACCAAACACAGAGGTTTTACAATGCCAGACCACACTGCTGCCAAAGTAGCAACAAACACTGCTTTAAAGAGCTGGAAGCGCCAGGGCAGTTGTAGAAGGGTGGATTTAAATTGCAAAGTCATGCACTTGAAAGTTAGGAAATGCCATGAAATGTGAAGCTGTGAAAATCCTTAATGATGAGATGCTGTATTTTTTGTTTTGTTTTATAGGAATTCTACCTCGTTTGTTGTGTACCCTTTAACTCTGCCCATTTGCATAAAGAAATTCTGCATCTCTGGCACTGCTTGTCCTTCTAGTGGTCAAGTTTCTGGGGGTTTTGTTTTGTTTTTAATAGAACAAGATGTAGCGCCATCAGAACAACTGGAATTAAGGAAGCTGGAAGATCTGAGTAGACTTTCAAGGGCATTGAGTTTAATTTACACTACTTGTGGTTTTCTTATGTACACACAATGCATAGTCACTTCCTCTTTAAAAAAAAAAAGTGCTTAATGAAGAACTTCTTCCCTTTCATGGCCTTGAGAAGATAACATCTGTATCAAGCTTTGGAACTTTTTGTGATATCTTCATGATATTGCACAAGCTCCAGTGCATTTGAAGTGCAACAGATGTTTCCCCTCAGCAGTGTTCATGCTCTTGTTCTGGAAGAAGGCGAGCCCTTGAAAGTAGGGTAAGCTAATTATAAACGTAGTTTTCTTGTTGGATTTAAAATTCCTTGTGGACACATAATTAGGAACAGCTCCATGTATAGGTATGCCCTTATGTCCATATCTTTCCATTTATTTACAGGAGAGACAATACCTGCTGCAACAGTGAAAGTTCCCTACCCTACCCTGGGGAATGAAGGCCTGTGTGAACCCCGTGAGGTTTAACAAGGCCAAGTGCAAGGTCCTGCACCTGGGTCGGGGCAACCCCCAGTATCAATACAGGCTGGGGGATGAAGGGATTGAGAGCAGCCCTGCCGAGAAGGACTTGGGGGGACTGGTGGATGAAAAGCTGGACATGAGCCAGCAATGTGCGCTCGCAGCCCAGAAGGCCAATCGTATCCTGGGCTGCATCAAAAGCGTGGCCAGCAGGTCGAGGGAGGTGATTCTGCCCCTCTACTCTGCTCTGG